AAAGACAAATCAGTTCATTCAACTTTCGTTTCATTTCAACTTTAAACTCAACTACTTGACTTGATCCATATCATTTAACATAATAACAGCAATTGGATAAAAAAAAAAACATCCCTTGTTCATTAAACATTTTGTCTAATTTGATTATAGTTAGTATGGTTTGACACATTTAAATCGATTCCACAGATTTTTCCTCCAAAACAAATGAATTTTAAAAAGTTCAAGAATCAAACTTCTAGTCTTCATTTTTTTCAAAACCCCAGACATTCTCATCTAAAACAACCCACAAAAACTGCTCTCAGAAGCTCAGGTTAACAGAGAAACCATCTGCACAAAAAACAGACACATGACACCACCTTGTGGAGATGACTGAAGCTAAGGAGAAAAATACTTCGAGTTGTATTGAAATTATTATAAAGAGTCAGTAGTCGTCAAGTGTATGGCCTCAGCAACATACTGTGTATGCATTGTTCAATGCACAAATCATTTAATAAACACTTTCTATGAAACACACAAATTAAACTTTGTAATTTTGATTAAAAGTATCCAAAGGTAAGGACAAATAACATATTGTGTTTTTAGAAGAACAAAATAAACCGTTAGCAGAACACAAGCAGCATTTATTTCTGCAACAGTCTGTGAATGTCACATAATGCATGACAGACAATAGGTTCAACCTTATGCAAAACTACTTGTTAAGTAGCACATATTATATTAAAATAAAAAAAGGTGTGATACTGACCATGAATGAGTGATCCATTGAGCCACTGTATGTAGTAGTTTTTTGGTAGAGAGAGCACAATCTCATAACTGATTATAGAAAATGGTAAGAGAAGGACAGCTCCTCCAGACACTGCCAGTGTGAATGTACACAGGTACATCCTGAGAAAAGGCAGAAACAAAGTAAAAAGTTAGTGAAAAGCATGGTAATAATTCTTGTACATTATTATGAATGATTTTGAATCCGTTTTATTTTCACATTTAAGGTAATGATGTAACAATATGGGGTTACATTAAGAAAACACAAGTGGCTACAACTCAAGGTACAGTGGAAGATTTTATAAGAAAATGTTAAACTAAGGATTCTTTGATATTAAGTTGTATATACCTGGATCCTTTAAATGCACTATAAAAAAACAGCACTTGTTATCATGCCAGATACGGTCAGTATCAAACAACTCACGATATTCTGTTGACAATGGCATCCTCATCTTCCTGATCATCTGTTGGCATAAGAAAAAAACATAAAATCAACCAATAAACCAGACACAGATTTAAAGTCATTTTGTTTTTGATAGAGATTATGTTCTTCGTGCTTAGCGCTGTGATGCTCTGACAATCTTTATCAGAAGTGACAGTCAGCGTTTAATTTCTTTACTGTGAATTTGCAACACAAACAGCCTCAGCTACAGAGGTCACAGAAACATGACAGATGTTTTAATAAGTCTAAAGCATGATCTGTCTTCATTTAACTAAAAGCTACTTGAAAACAATACTGGTTAATCATAAATCACAAATATGTGAATAAACCTTTACAATCAACCGGCCAGATGGAGGCTGTCAAGAGTTAATGCGGGTTCGAGAGTAGAGGGGGAGAGGAATGACTTAAGAAGTGGCAAAAAGCGTAAGAGAGAAATGGATAGAAAGTGCAGAACAGCACTTTAAACTAATTACACAAATTGCATTGAAAAAGCCTCTACATGAGGCCTGAGGTCCTAGAGCTTTACAGTCATGCTTCACAATAGCAGCTGTACTTTTATAGAGACAGGAGTCTTTAGAACAACCTAGTTTAACCGGTGATCACCGCTCTCCACAGGGGTTAGCTGACATTACTTATGCTACTTTTAAATAGGAGGGCATGACCTGATCAGGAACTAAAATCGTCCTCATGTGTAAAGGAGGCTTGAGGTGGCAGCACCTTGTGTTATGGAGCTGAATAATGCTCAAAAGATTACTATAAGGTGTTATGGAGTTCTAAAAGGTGTAAACCCCCTAAAAGTGTGCAAGCAACCAAACAACCTGTCCTTTTGTCATCTAGGAATTTGATCTACACTAAATCTGAGGAGCTCACAGGTATTATCAAGTTATAAATATTAATATGGGTAAACAATTAATATATAAATATAATTATACATAGTAAATATTATGAATACAATTGCATTTAAATAGTACAAGAGTTTGATCAGAAACAGAACTGTATTATTCATGCTTACCGCTTTTTCTCTTGTAGCGTGAGATGATGCAGTACGACACAATGTACAGCACTGCAAACAGGAGGAAGCAGACCTAGAAACACACGAGACCGGAGTGTATTTTAAGAATATGGACTGATGGATGTGTGTATGTAAACATGCCGTTCATGTTTGAACTTTTACTCATATTACACCTTGCTTGTATCCTCAGAGAAGTACAGAGCACTAACAAAGTTCTGCATTAGATAAATGCAATTGTGCTCCACCATTAAAATAAACCTACAACAGGGTTAAGTATCTGTTAACACAAGGAATTCAGATTAGAAGGAATTCATAGCTCAGGTATATTGGAATAACAAATAACTTCTATTAAAGCATAAATAATATTCTTAATAACCCTTTGCAGAGTGAAGCACACACGTTTTGTGTGCTCCACTGGAAGACAGCACTCAAAATCCACACCTCCAGACAAACCAAACCAAAACCTAATAATACAGGAACATTCAGCAAATCTGCTCTTCAATGAACTGTATTCATAATCATATTTGTTATTAATCTTAAAGCTTGACAATGTCAAACACTGGTCAGCAGTCTCACAAGCTAAAGAGCCCAATCTAAAAAAAAAAAAGATAAACTTTGGTGATGCCTGCTAGGGAAAGTCCACAAATAATAAAACCCAGAATATTGTAGCAACAGCAAAGTGACATCCAACAGATTTCAGATTTTTACTGATATCTGGCATATAGCCACATAAAAAGATTGCACACTAAAAATTATTACATTGATATTTATCATTAAACATGGCTTCTTTCAAAATAAATTTATTTCGCGTCGGAAATGTAACGCCCCTTATCATAATCACGAGCTTCAGCTTTCAAAGTAAATATCAAGACAGTTAATAATGTCCTTAAGTTTTACCATCAGTTCAAGCCCGAAAGGGCAACAGAGTCGCGTGACAGACACAGTGATGATGCAGTACACAAGCTGACGTGCTATGATTTCTGACAGGCAGTTCACTCTCCTGTGATGTGACCCTGTTCAACTAACACACACACACACGACACATTACTCTGCATTTGAACAGTCAATGGCAAATACTTAAACTAGTAACAAAACATGCTTGCAGTCGCTGATTCAGAAGCGCCAGATTGTCATAGCCAAGTCAGAATTTACCCTTTTTTTTTTCTTTTTCTTTTTTTTTAGAAATAGCCTTTGTGCACAGCCAGCCTTGTACTCTTCTAGGTTCAAAAAACTGTGGTCCATAAAATGCGTTGCACAAATTCGAACATCTGGGTTGTGCTGTTCTGTTGTAAATAAATCTTAACCAGTGATTCCTAATTGCATCTACTTCTGGAAGGCCAAATAAAGTGCTTTTGCTTTCGCACTGAAACACAGCGTCTCCCTGACATGGCTGCATCAACACTACTGCTGTCCCTGAAACCACACCTTTTTTCTTTGCGTGCACATTTGGGTGGCATTATGCTAATATTTCCACATAGTGAGGTAGACATGTGGGGGCGTGTTAGAACGAGCCGTTTTAGGGGGGCGTGGCTGACTATTAACTTTTATATAGAATATCTCTTTGGATTTGAGACTTTACAGATCTTCTATATGAACCAAGAGCTTGTAACACTCCAAAGAGAAATGAAAACTTGAAAGCGCATCATATGACCCCTTTAAGCAGCAACAGTGATCTTAGCACAAGCAATCACCATGTTGAAAATCCTTGTTTAATAAACACAGGACAGTGACTGACTGAATTAATTTGTTATAAATATAAAATACTTTGACAAAATAGCTTTAGAAAATAAGGATTGTTTGTTTGGTAAAGGCCAAAATATATCAAGATTCTTGTATTTCATACAGTTTAGAAACTGCCTGGCCTCAGGTCCTTACACCTCAGGTCCTTACACTGGCTTCCAGTTATATTTAGGATTGATT